CTAAAAAATCATATTTTCGGATAAGAAAAAATATATATGCGAGGATGTACCTTTTCCTCTTCCCACAGTTTTTTTATGTGGCTATGACGCAGATTAAGATCAACAAGTTCCTCTGGATTAAATTCTGATGGCAGGTATTCGTAAGGGTACCCCTGCCAATGAAGGTATACAAGCTCATCCGGAAAATGATCAAGCCCTTTAGAGAATTGAAATTTATGGTCCTTATCACACCACTGAGAACAATGAGAATTGTGGAATTTCAGGAACTTGAGATTCGACATCCTCATGAAAACATCAGGACTTAACTTGATCCTTTCGATATTAGACATGTTCAAGAAGATGCCTCTAACACATTCAGTGCCCTGGTAACAAGAGAAAAAAAGATTAAGGGACAGGAAGGATATCAGAAAAACAATACCAGAAAAAACACATCTAAGTGTATATATGATGTACGACGGCAAAACAATGGAGATATAATTAAACATTTAGCTCACCGTGTTCTGCTCCAGGACATGACGAATATCTTTGTGGTTCCACAACCTAGTACGTTTTCCTGCTCTTCTAATGGATGATTCATATCCAATTTCCTTCCCCATTGTATGCATTAGATCATGCATCTCAAGCCGGTTATAAGAAACGGTTACCAAACACTTGTCTTCAAGATCTCTCATCACAGCCGCGGCATTGACACGGTCTGATTTCAGGATGCTTGAAACGAAATCTGCTTTTTCCGACCTGAAAAAACATGCTATGTCTAGAAACATGCTCTTCTGTTCATCATCTAGTGCTTCATAACTCATTTTTAGAACTTTCTGAATCTCCTTGTCTGGCATTACCCTTAATCTCTCCCATTTCTGCATCCAGTATGATTTTTCCTTCTTGCATAGACCTGAACCTAACAACTTTAAAGCGAACGGATGCCCTTTAGCATAATATACAAAGCTTTTTGATATATCCAGAAATTCTTCTGTTGGGTAGAGGTTCTCAGAAAATGCCTCAAGGCAGAAAAGCTCCATAGCTTCCTTGTCATTTAATCTGGGTACTACGTATGTTGCATCCGCGTTGTTCTCCAGCAGTTTCTTGTCTCTGGTTGTTATAACAATCCTGCTTCCTTTCCGGTACAGTTTCTGCTCCCCGATGAGGACTTTTATTTGATTTTTCTCAGTCACATTATCCAGCACAATAAACAGCTTCTTGTTCCTTAGAAATTCTTCCAATCTTCCATGCGCTCTGACATCGACATTTTCTTCATCCAGTAACTTACACAGGAGTTTCTGATGCAAATGATGTAATCCATGCCTTTTCGACTCATTTTCAATGTCTTCAAGGAAACAGTACCCATCAAACTGACGGTAGTTTCGTTTATATACGCAATCAGCAACCGTTGTCTTGCCTATTCCAGTCATACCAAGAACACCAACGGTACGGATACAGTTTGCATTATCAAACATCAATAATTCTTCCAGTTCCTTAGAACGTGATTCAATCCCCGGGAAACCACGGATTTCACATGGAGACAAATCATTCAGCATCCTGAAAGTTTCCTTGGCTATTGTTTCAACAAATTCACTCTCCGGCCTGCCAATTGCATATATAAAAGTCTGTCAAGTTTACGGAAAAGAGTTACTGAAACAAAACAGAGTGGCGGAAGAAATCTTGTTAAATTTCTATTGTAGAATGCAGAAGACATCAATGGATCTTAAGAACAATATCACTACTTCAAGATTAACTACAAAACCAAAAAAAAGTAAAAGCAAGATTTGTTAGTACCTTTCCTCAGGAAGTACATAGCCCAGGATATTGGAAGCAGTCTTGAGAGCTTCCTTCCATGCTCCAAGCTTATGTTCACGTCCCTTGAAACTCTCCTTTGGGTTCTGAAAAGGAGTTTGAAAACTCCCTTTTTGATTCTCCACATCAAATTTCTTTACTTTGTAAAAGATCGGTAAAACTCCATGACCGAATTTTTGTCGGCATTGCATGATCTTCCAGAGTTCCTCCAAGCACCAGGTGGAGTTGGCGTAGTTCTCCGAGAAGACAACGATAGACATCTTCGATTGCTCGATTCTGTCAAAGAGTACTGATATGTCCTTGCCTCGCCGGAGTTTTCCATCAAAGAAAGCATCGATTCCTTTCCGGTGTAGATACTGAAGGAGGTAAGAGGTGAAGGTATTGCGCGTGTCCTTGCCTCTGAAACTCACAAACACATCGAACTGTCTCTTGGGGGAGGAAGAAGAAGAAGCCATTAAAGGATTGGGCTATGGAGATGATGCAGCTTTTTTTGAAAAGGGTTCTCTCTTTTGGAAGTAAAATGGAAGAGAGGGATGACTTTGAGGGGTTGACCAACAAGTCTTTACACAAAGATTCTT